AAAAAATGAAAGATATTTACCTACCCTTAAAATTTTTAAAAGTAAAATTTCAAATTTTTGATATTTTGTAAAATACATAAAATATTTTATATGTATAAATTTTCATAAACCCGTTAATATTTTTAACGTCACATATACTAATGCTATTTAATATACTATTTCACCTATGTCGCAAAATAATTTTCAGTTGTTAGGTGATTTAAGACAACAATGTTTTTCAGATTCGGTGATTTCCCGTCGTTGCCTATGAAATACAGCAACGACACGTACATTCACAGACTCTTGACTTATTCCCCAAATCACAAAATACAATACGCCACATATTACACGGAACCCGTTAAAAAGTACATCGGTGAGTTTTGATTTCGTTTCGTGCACGAATGATGCCATAGTTTCCTGCTTTCTGCACCAAAAACCCGCTTTCTTAGGTGGCAAAAACTACTCTAACCCAAATAGTGTGAAAAAGTGTGTTTTCTTTGATTGATTTGGGTTTGAATCAGGGACAGGTCATCTATCATGTGTCTCGTACGCAGGGGACAAAAGCTACAGTCGTCGTCGTCCTTTGACCATGTTTGAGGACGCACTCAGGAATGATATCCAGTTGTTGAGTTATTATATTACTAAATTTCGAGATGAGAAACAACAACCAAAAGAAATTAAAGGTATTTGCGAGAGTTTCAAAGCTTAAAACACCATTTCATGTACATAAATAGAGGCTACTTAGTTTTTTTTACATTCTTTCGCTTATAAAACTTCTCAAAAATTCTTATTCTTCAGCTTCGTGTCTAACTCGTGTGTATTGACTTTTTGGTTTTCCTTGCAGCTGGAAGTGTAGAAGAAAAACAACAAACCGAAATTACCGAATAATTTCTTACGATATACGACTTTTGTGTTGCTTATTTCCACTACTAAAAATGCTGTTAGGTTGAGATTCTGGTAACAAGTTTTTGTGCACGATTTTTCTTGTATGTCTACTCACAAGAGAACGGGCTTTTATTTTATTTAATTGTTACAAGGTGTGGTCACTGCCGATATAGCTCGCTCTCTTAATAATAATTCAATATTTTTTTATATTTTTTTTGTTCAATCAATAAAATTTTATTTTATTACGATTTGGTTTTCTTTACTAATAGTGCAATGACAAACACCTTTATAATCTCTTTCAGGATAGGTTTTTTATGGGGATGGTATTTTTTGTTTTTTTTTTTTTTAAATATAGAGTGATTTTTTCTAACAATAAATTTAAGTTATAAAATAAATACGGTTAAAAAAGCTTTTAAATGAGCACACCATTGGATGGATGGAACACCAACACATTAACGACGTAAGTTTACCATAAAAATAATAAAATAATTAAAACTAAATCAATAACTTATCGCAACTAATTTCGTAACACAAATTAGCCAATTACTGCTTCTATGTTAAATAAAATTTCATGATTTTTGTCAATGAATAAACCGATTTCAGCTCCTTTATCACCAGCTCGTCCTTCACGCATCTTCTCAGTGCACAAACCAATGGAAGATCCCGTCGCTCAAGAAATCAAAGATTTGCGTGAAGCACGAGCACAACGACTTGCTAAAATCTACGCATCTGATGATAATAATAAAACAACAGATGAAGTAGAAAAAAGTTTAAAAGAGAAGAAAAAGAAGGAAGAAGCGAGATTAGCTGAAGAAAGAGCCCTTGCTGAAGAACAAGCAAAGAAAGAAGAAGCGGCTAGAAAAGCAGAAATAGCTCGCCAAGAACAGCTTGCAGCTCAACTCGCCGCAGAACGTGCAGCAGAATTAGAGAGGCAAGCAGAACAAGCACGTCAAGAAGAATTAGCCAAACAAGTAATCTACTATTTTACTATTATCTTTTAATCTAACATTTTTGTATTTCAAAGGCTGAAATTGAACGATTGAAGAAAGAAGAGGAAGAAAGAGCGCGTTTAGAGGAAGAAGAAGAACAAAGACGACGTGAAGAAGAAGCTAGAGCTGAAGAAGAACGCCAACAACTTCTGCGTTTGGAAGAAATCGCCAGACAAGCCGAAGAAGAAAAAGAACGAGAATTGGCGAGACAAGCCGAAGAATTGGCCGAATTGGCAAGACAAAAGGAGGAACAAGAACGTCTAGAAAGAGAAGAAAGGGAGAAAGAAGAATTGGCGAGACAAGAAGCCGAATTAGCCGAATTGGAACGACAAGAGAAAGAGTTGGCCGAATTGGCACGACAGGAAGCCGAGTTGGCAGCCCAAGCGCAAGAAGAAGCCGAAGCAGAAGCCAAAGAAGAAGAAAAGACTGAAGAACCGGTTGTTGATGAACCGGAAAGTGAAATTCAGGAAGGCGGCGAAGAACCGGCGGAAGCCGAGCCTGAAGTCCAAGCAGAAGAACCGGAAGCCGAACCTGAAGCCGAAGCAGAAGAAGAAACAGAAGAATAAGTTTAAGAACCTTCTAAAAATAAGTAATACCCATTCCAAATTGTCGTGTCTTTGGCTCTGACAATGGTTGTAGCTAAGTAAGCTTAATGATTGTCATAGCAACGACACAAACTTGTTCATTTTTGCTGCGCAACAGTGGTTATAATTCGTTGCTAGGTTCACTAAAGTTTGGAATGGATAAAAACATAACAAATTATTCCTGTGGAATTTTTCGGATTGCTCCTTAATCACACTTCTTTCACTTCCACTATACTTAAAAAAATTATTCCAATTTCTCTCGTTTCTTGCAACTAAATAAAAACCAATAAAATAACTGTTGATCCATCACTTGTTTTATTTATTTTTTTGTCGTACATCGATTACACTTTTGCTAGTTTTGCATTTTTTCCGAGGCATTTTTTTCCGATTAAAGTAACCTCTGTCGACCGACTGACTTCGTGAGTTGATTAAAAAATTTCGATAATGCCTAGAAATCAATTAAAAAAAAATTAAATAAATAACGTTAGAGAAACCTTTTTGTATTAATTTTGAAGTCAATGTTAGTGGTGGCAAAAGTCTCATCGTTCAAGTAACATTTTAAAGTTTCAACAGTCGTATTTAGTTTCTCCATTTCGTCTCTAAAAATCAATTCAATTTAAAATATGAAGGGGTTTGTTGATTTCGAAATATAGTCCATTTCATTGAAATTGGCACAACAATAAGCCATGATTGTGTAAACCGCCCTTTAAATGTGAAAGAAGCTTTACTGCTTTAGGAACTAAATTTGTCACTAAACAAGTGAGGTTAAGATAGATAAAAAAATAATTTTTAAAGAAGCCACTTTTAGAGGTTTTCAGAGAGTTTTTTCTACAAAAAGTTTAACACCGTGTTTCATCCCAAAAACATACCTACATTATTTGCTTTGGAGAAAATAATTTGGTTTTATTCAAATTGGTATATTTGATTCCATTAACGTAAAATAGGAATAAGAGAAAGAAATTGATTATGTTTCCAAACATATCTTAGCGTGTAAATTTGGAGTTCTGAAGAGAACTATTTTTAATTAAAATTTGAAAAAAAAATGGAAATAACGAACAAGCAACAAAAACAGTGAAAAAACGAATACAAATGTCAAACATGTCAACAAATAATCAAAGAAAAACGAAAACCCCATCTGCTATTACACCAGGGCAGGGCTACAAACTTAAATATATATAAATTCCATAGCCACCCAATATACCAATTTCAATTAAATCTACGATAAAGTTTGATTTTTAATTTTATGCCTGTGGATCAACTAATAATTCGAAAGACGTACCAAATAGCTATCTCTTTTCAACATTTGTAAACAGCTCTTTGGCTCTTTCGCTACGTATTTCCGCTATTATCTCAATTTAACAAATGCGATTAAAGTAACGCAGAGCTAGTGACGTACGTCAAAAGTGACGTAGGTCATTTGTAATTTCATTTTTAATGGAAAAACTGTTTTTGAAATTAATATTTATAATTTTTGACTTTAGTACTAAAATGTCAAAAGCAGTAAAATGTCAAAAACAGACAGAGGTCATGGCATGTTCTTAATTCACACTACCCCCACCAGCAATTCATTAAAATACAGATTTGTCAACAAAAAATTACTACCTAGGATTTGAATTTTTAGGAAAATTACATCTTCCATGTTGTTTGTAACTAGAATTTTCAGAAGTAATTTTGAATGCCTAGGGTTGGTTACCCCTGCAGTTGACGTTTCCTGTCAACTTACTAACCTAAATTTTTGACACTAGTTACGATATCACCACAAACCAACCTAACCAAATTTATGGCAACCTATTCACGAATATCCCTAAATCCTAGGGAGTAATTTCTTGTTGATACGATAATACTTTACCCACCTTTTGATGACAATACAACCACTATACATAGCTTTAGCCCGTTCCAAATCCTTCCTCAACTTCTCTGTATCTAAACACGCCCTACACAAAACCCCGTCCCAAGTCTGAACACTCTTATCCCGAATTTCGACAAGTTTCCGTCCTGCCGTCTCATTGTATTTCATACAAACATAAGCTTCTCTCAATTTTTCAAAAACCGTTTGGTTGTCTTTAACAAACTGAAGTTGGCGTTCCAATTGCCCGACTTTGTGTTTCTCATGAGCCAAACTAATAAAACAATTACATAATAAAATACCCAATTTTTACTCACTCCAAATTGATTCGTTCATTTTCGTAAATCAAATCACTGCAACGTGTCTCAAGTTCGGCGATTTTCAATTTGAGATCTTTGTTTTGTGCATCACCAGACGCAGGAATTTCAGACATTATTATTGTCAAAAAAACATATAAATGGTACTTTGATTAATTTAATTTTATTGAGTTTAAAAAGTGCGCGCTACAGAGGGGAGTATCAAATAGGGTTATTTTATTGAAATTTTTGTAATTTATCACAAATTGTTCCTTGATTGAAACGAGATAAGATTTATTTTCAAGTGACTGATTTGTTATTATCTGAGGAAATTTCAAATAATCGACCAAAATCTCGAGAAAAATCAAAAATCTTAACTTAAAAAAAATATTTAAGTTATGCAACTAACATTACATCCAATATGTATTATTTTTGATTGTGTAATGTTAGTTGCATAACTTAAAAATATTTTTTAACTTTAAAATTGCTCCATATAACGTTTTTTACATTTCTAGAGGTTCTAGAGACTTAAAAAACGATTAGTCAATTACGATTTTTTTGTTTTTTGTACTACTACTTTATTGAAATTTTTTACAAATGTGTTTCGCGATAATTTTCGAGTAGAAATTTTTGAAGACTTTGGAATAAAGGGTGTCAAAAAAAAAACAAATAAATGCTACTTTGATTAATTTAATTTTATTGAGTTTAAAAAGTGTGCACTACAGAGGGGGGTATCAAATGGGGTTATTTTATTGAAATTTTTGTAATTTATCACAAATTGTTCCTTGATTGTGTCGAAATGGACACAGGGGGTGAATCGGTGGCCCCAGAGAAGGTCCGAATTTGTGTAAGACGTCCGGTTTTGGGACGCTTGACCGGTTATAACCGATAATCCCTCAGCGACAACAATGATTTCAAATCTGGAAAATAAAAATTGTTTGAATTTTACAATTTTTTATTTATTATTATTACGGTTTGGTGAGAAGTTCAAGGGGTGAAATGTCCCATAAAGGACTTTGAGAGTCGATCACATGAATGATTTCAATCGGGAAAATGAGACAACCAAATGGTTGTATTTTAATTTGTTTAATTTGGATAGGGTCTTGGGATTTATTAATAAAATACATTGTTACATTAGTCCCAATTGAGATTTTTTCAGTCAAATCAATAATTCGGATTATTAAGCACATTTCGCCGTCCCTTTGTGCCACCTATGAAAAAAATTAAACAATTGCTGTTATCAACAAGAAATTAGTCCCTAGGAATTAGGGATATTTGTGGTAAATTTGGTTAGGTTGGTTTCTGGTGACAAAAGTGTCAAAATTTAGGTGGGGTAACCAACCTTAGGCATACAAAACTACTAATTCTAGTTACAAACAACATGAAAGTTCAAATCCTAGGTGGTAATTTCTTGTTGAGAAGTCTAGAAAAAAACTTACCACCGCTTTTTTGCTAAAAATACTCAACGAGTTTTTTGTGTACGGTTTTGCAATTTTCACATAAACGGCACTAACTAACACTCCTTGAATCCCAATACTGACCAAGGCTTGTAAAAGTGGAACAATCCAACCAATTGTGCACTTTTCAGTGGGGTATCTGTACCCATACCCAATGGTGAGCATTGTTTCGATGCTTAGGAGGATATAACCGGTCAAATTTTTTGTATTGACGATACAAAAATCCCTATCTGTTTCAAAATCGCCACTTGCGTAAGCAATCCACATGTAGAGTAGCCCGAAGAGAAAAAAACTAACGAAATTAACCAGACATAAAACAGTTATGATCCATCTCCAGCGAGTGTTGAGCAAAGTATTGCCCAAATCGCGAAAATAGTTGAGATATTTCCGGGGAATTTTCACTTGATAGATGTTCAAACGGCCGCTTTTGCTTATAATTCGCGAAAATAAACTTGTAGTGCTGAATCTTGAACTAATTTTTTTGGTAGAAATAAATCAAAGGGAAAATACAAACCTGCGTCGACTGTTGCTTGTTTGAGAAAACTCGAAAATTTCATTGTATTGATCATTTTCACCGTCGTATTCATACATGTTGCAAGTAAACTAAGTGTTAAACGAGATAAGATTTATTTTCAAGTGACTGATTTGTTATTATCTGAGGAAATTTCAAACAATCGACCAAAATCTCGAGAAAAATCAAAAAAATTCAACTTTAAAATTGATCCATCTAACGTTTTTTAAAGACTCGAAAAATGCATAAAACGGTATTGGGTTAAGTTTAAAAAATTACGAATTTTTTGAGTTTTTGTAAAAACAGTCAATTTAATTAAAAGGTTTAAAATATGGTTTCCTAGACGTAAAATGTTACGTTACTCTACGATGCATAGTTTTCAAGATATTGATAATAGACCGCTCTGGGTTTCTTATTTTTGTTTCAAAATTGTCTTAACTTAAAAAAAACATTTATAGTTATGCAACTAACATTACATTAAATATGCATTTCTTGCCTGTGTAATGTTGGTTGTATAACTTAAAAAATATTTTTTTACACTTCTAGAGGTTTTAAAGACTCAAAAAACGTTTAATAAATTACCTTTTGTACTACTCCTTTATTGAAAATTTTTACAAGTGAGTTTCGCGATAATTTTCGAGTAGAAATTGTTGAAGACTTTGAAATAACGGATCGATTTCCGAACTATCACTATCAAAATCGAGATTCGAAATAGCTTCAGTGACTTGACTCAATCTTCGAGCACTGCACAAAGGCATTAGAATTTCTCTAGTACTATTGAATAATTTATGATTAACAATGAAACACCCCCTTTGTTTGTCATAAAAAGTGCACGGTTTGAAAGTGTGCCCCCACAAAATTTCGCTATTTAAGTACGATCCTGTAATAAGTGACATTTTCGATGTTGTTAACGAAACACCTTCCATTGAGACAATTATTTCAAACCTGAAAAACCAACTACATTATGTGTGACCCAAAATAGGTCAATTTCACTTTTTCAGGATTAAATCTTTGGCTGAAAAGTCCCAAAATGGACTTTTTGCGTTAATCTCATGGATGATTTCAATAGGCCAAATCATAATCCCCGACGAATTCAATTGAATCGATTTGAGAAAAGGCTCATTCTCGCGTCTTACTATGACATAAGCTTTGATTTTATTGTAACACTGATAACGTTTCTCTTCATCTCGGACTCGGAAAATGAGACAAAACTGTCCATCTCTTTGACAAATCTTCAAAAAAATTTAATTAAATTTAAATTTTCACAAAGTGGGACTTACAGTGGCATATTTACTAAAACAATTCCTTGCTAAAACCTTCCTGGGGGCTGTAATTTTGCCGTAAACAATCCCGATCAAAATCCCAGAAATCCCAACTCCTGTCACAATTTGAATACAAAAAATGAGAATTGCTTCTGGACAATTTTGGCTAATGTAACGAGTGCCGTATCCAATAGTCGTTTGTGTTTCTATACTAAAGAGTAAATAACCGGCGAATGTTTGAATGCCGTTCAAACACGGTTTTGTCGCATTTCCAACATCCAAATCTCCGTTATTGATCGAAACCATCATCCAAACATAAGCAAACACAAGCCAAAGAAAAATATATGTTAGAGAAAGTGCAATTAAAGTCCATTTCCAGTTGCTCACAATCAAAGTATTCACCAAGTCGTGAATGTAAATCACCGTAAGAAACGGTCTTTTCGTTTGGTAAATTACCGGATCACCGGTTTTTAAAACAAGACGGTGATGAGGATTGGAGGACTTCCTCCGGCTAAAAAAATTCAAAAATTTTAGGGGAATTTGACTTTTTAAATACCTCTTTTTTCTCTGTTTGTATTTGGTCAAGTATACGGGAACGGAATCACACAATTCACACTTTTGGTAATTTTTTATAACAATTGTTTCGTCACTTGCAACCATTCTGTGTTTTCTTTACGTAAATCAAGGTTTGTGATACATTAGTCATGACTTAGATAGATAAGTGTCATCTGTTATAATTAAAATTTTATTTGATTTAGGCTTATCTCAAACAAATAATTTTTACCGCCAATTTTTAAAAATGACATTCACAGCTCAATTGACATTGACAAGTGAGGTTAGAAACCAAATGTTTACGTTTACATTTTTATCATTTAATCTTTCCTACTAATATGCGTCTAAAGTGTGTCTAGTCTCGATTCCGCCAAATTAGCCTAAATGGCGACCAATGTCCCATTCAAAATAACGGTAATTGTGTTCAGTTCCGTAACCGCTCTCTGCCTTGTAAATAAGACTTTATCGCAGTCTTCTTTCATCAAACAAGTCCCAGAAGAGTACAGTTGGCTTGTCCATGGCTTAATGAACATTCTCGGCTACGCCACTTTATTCATCCCTGGCTACTTAACCTTCAAATACGTCCGAAAAATCAACTATATTAGCTATGGGGGCGACGGTTGGTGTTTCCGTAGCATTCAGATGTGTTACGGGGAGGAAGAATCGGGAGGGGCGAGTGGTAATCCACCCTCTGTCATTCAAAGATCAACAAGTCAGGAGATAATATCGATTTTGTTTCATTTTTTTGGCTTGCAAGTGTCGTATTTAACATGGGGTGTTTTACAGGAGAAAGTGATGACACAGAAATACCAAAGCGGGATGGAGACTGAACATTTTAAGGATTCACAGTTTTTGGTGTTTGTTAATAGAGTGTTGGCGTTTTGTATGTCGGGGATTTATATTTTTTGTACAAAACAGACTAGACATAGGTGTCCTTTATACAAGTACGCTTTTTGTTCGTTTTCGAATATTATGAGCTCTTGGTGTCAATATGAAGCATTGAAATATGTGTCATTTCCGCATCAAGTTTTGGCCAAAGCTGCAAAAACAATTCCAGTCATGTTAATGGGGAGGATTATCACAAAAACCAAATATGAGTATTATGAATACGTAACTTCTGTTATTTTATCAATAGGAATGTTAATTTTTATGCTTGATGTGGGTAATGATCGGACTGATTCAGCAATTACGACTTTTTCAGGCGCTATTTTACTCATTTTGTACATCATTTTTGATAGTTTTACTTCAAACTGGCAACAAGCTTTATTTAAAACGTATAAAATTAAACCGGTACAAATGATGTGTTGTGTTAACTTATTTTCATGTATTTTTACAGCCGTTTCATTGTTACAACAAAACGTGTTTTTTAAATCGTTTCATTTCATGTTAAAGTATCCACAATTCATCGTTGATTGTCTTCTATTATCTGTGTGTTCAGCTGCTGGACAGTTATTTATTTTTAGTACGATTGCGAAATTCGGACCTTTAATTTTTGCCATAATTACAACAATACGTCAAGGCTTGAGTGTCCTCTTGAGTTGTATCATCTACAACCATCATGTGACTATAGCGGGAACATTCGGTATCACTCTCGTATTCACAAGTGTTTTACTAAGGATTTATTGCGGACAAAGATTGAAAAATCTGAGGAAAAATCTAAACACACCACAAAAAATTGCAGTGTAAAAAAATATATTATGTTAAACAAAAATAAAGTATGCAAAAATAACAAGTCTTATCTCTTATTAGGAGCCACTCTTCGGGATTTCACTGAAGTGCTACTCGGCTCAAATCTGCGTCGTTTCAGTCCAGGCCGAGGAAAAACCTCTTCTTTGCTATGACCACCCAATCCGTCATAAACAAGATCAGAGTTTTTAACTATTTGTGTTGGTAACGCCGTTGCAACAGGTTTTTTGAAAATAGACATCTGAAACAGATTAAAAACACTCAGTTGCTAAGTATTTAATAGTTGAGTTACTATAGTGACTGAGTCTTATAATTGAAAAATACTCATTGCTAAGTAACAATTGACTATCACAAGCAATTTGAAACAAACTTTACTTGGTTTGTGGTTGAGCGAAGTTTGGAACTTGTAAACAGTTCTAAATTGATAGCACTTGATTTCAAAGGCAGATATGGTGAGTTGGATTTTAAAATATCTTCAACCTTTTTCTTAAACTAGAAAAAAATTTAAATTAAATTGCTTAATACACAAATAGTAATAAATACCGTGGGTGGTGAGTCTCTATCTTGAGAATCGTCATTTGCTTGAGAAAATAGACTAATTTCATTGGCTTCTTCAGCCGCATTTTTTTCCTCTATGGTACGTCTGAAAGACTTTTATATAAAATAATTACAAATAAATGACTCACAACCTTAAATCTTGATTTTCTGAACGGAGTGAAGCGATTTCCCTTCTATATTTAGTTAATTCGTGTTGTAGTTGTTTATTTTTATGTTCTGCACTTAATTTTCGTCCTTCAACGTCAAGTAATGTTCTAGAAAAAGACGATTTTAAATAAAAGTTGATAGTAATTAAGAAACAACAACTTTTTTAGTGTTGCTGCTAAAAGTGCAAGAGATTCAATATCACTTTCATTCTTGATCATTTCAGTTACAGCTTCTCTAGTACCGTTAATGGCCGTTTCAACATTTGCGTATTTTTTAACTGTTTCTTTAAGTTTAAAGTACGACTCTGATAGCCTGTCCCTGTCTCTTGATATCTCTTTGAAATACGAAATTTGGTCTTTCAAAGCGTTTACTATAGATTCATGAGTTCTGATTTTACTTTCCAGTTCTTGTACTTCCGTCCTACAAGTGTTAATTTAAGAATTACATTATTTTTAAACAAAACCCACCTTAAAGCTACATTTTGGGTTTTAGCCTTTTGATACTTTGTAGTATAATTTTGAACGTCCTTATCTTTGAGTGCTAACTGAAACTGTAATGCATCGATTTTGTATTGTAATGTTGCTGGATCAGCAGTTTCATCCTCAACATTATTGATGTTTAAGTATACTCTATGAATAGATTTTTCGGTAGTTTTTCGTCTACATTGAGGACAATTCTTAGCCCTTTCTAGCCACTGCATTAAACATGCATAATGGAAAATATGACCACAGGGTGTTGTAAAAATCTCCGAATTTGGTAAAATTAAATCACTACAGATGATACATGTGATATTCATGGTCAAAAAGGCCTTAAACGAAAATTATTTTTGGAGACGATATTAATGTTGACAAAGGACAACTTACCCAAATAACAATGTATTACAAATAATTGCAAATTGCAATATAATTAGAGTAATTTTTTTCTTTCAGAACCCTTGGCCCTAACTGTCATAATTGCGCGGGTTAAAATGGCGAAGGAATTTACTCGAGACCGAATTTAATAATTTTAATAAAATAATAGTTTAATTGTTGTTTTTTTTTCAATTTAATAGTGTCATTAGAGTTAAAAAACAAGCAATTAATGAAATAATAAGTGTTAAACATTACAATTTTAAGATTTTTATTCGATTTAAAGCTCGTTCGAACGCGAGTGTGTATAAAAATCCCTAAACTCGATTCGTACCAACCTAAAGTTGGTTCCTAAATTCCTAAATACACAACAATGAGGACGTTATTGCAAAACTCTGTCCTCTAGGCCTTTGCGGCCACTTTGTCATCATTCCATCGTTCAGAAAACCACACGAAATTGCGTTTATTGTAAGTGCAAACTTTTTTTGCAATTTCTAGGTTACCTGTCAAAGCGCGGCATTTTCAAAAAAAAAAAATGTCAAAAACTCAAAAACTCGACGACAAGCAGCTTTTATCGAAATTAGCGAAAGATTTCCATGACCTAGTCTCAAACAAGGAAGTATTGCGTACTTCTGTGGAGAGTTTTCTTAACAACGTAATTGACGAACTAACATTAGGAATAATTTTCGATTTGCATCGCAAATACAAGACTAATGCTTATGAAGTGGAGATGGAGGAAGAGGATGGTGATGAGGATGACGCCACTGAAGCTGATATTTTTACCCAGCAAGATGTGAAAAAGCCTCAGGATTGCGTGTGTCCCAATTGCGACCGTGCGGTGGCGGCGTTGCGCTTTGCCCCCCATTTGGAGACTTGCATGGGGATGGGGCGGAATCGGTTTAGGAATGCGACGAGGCGAGTGGCGAGTAGTACGAAAGAGAGGGAGAATTCGTCGTTTAGTGGAGTGCCGAGCGATGATGACGATGACATTGATTGGAATTCGGGGAATAAAAGAGGCAAAAAGAAGAAACGAAACGGAAGCAAGAAATCGAAAAGTAGGTTTTTTGGTCGTGTTATTGAAACAATGATTGATTTTTGTTTTGTTTAGGTGGAGTAACGCCGAAGAAATCATGCGGCGATTCAAGAACGAATGATTCGGTGGAAATTGAAGCGGAAGATGATGATTTATCGAGTTTGAGAGATTTGCTTCAGGATCATTCCAATAGTTCCTCACCGGCCGATTCGGTCTCAAGTAGTCATTCAAATACGTCAAAGAAAAAAGACAAAGCGAAAAATAAAAAAAGTAAAAGGGATAGGGCGTCACCGAGTTCGAGCATATCAGCCGAATAGTCATTATTATTGTGTAAATTAATTCGATTTTATCATGTGATTGTAATTATGTAACATGACTATTTATTATAATATCCAAATTACGAGTAAATACCTCAGTAAATGTATATAAATGGAACTAGAATGTTAAATTATTGTGTGTTTTTTACATTTGGTTTTCTCACCGATCGCCAATTTTAAACGAAATCATGTCAAAACGATTAATTTTACTGAAATCCATTTTTAAATATTTTTACTATTAACAAGCTTTTTATTTTATATTTGCGTTTTTATTTTTCCCCTCAAAAAAACTCTTTTTAGCTCCTTTTTCCCATCCTAAACGAGTCGACTAGGAAAAATGTGCAAGTTGAGTAAAGATTTGTTGCTAAGCAATGAAAATCAAAAATATGTGGTTACTTAGAAACAGGATGTTTTAGAACTAAAATGACAAGTTGTCATAGTAATAATGTAATAAGCCCAGTGGCGGGTAAATAAATATGTTTTACAATTTATTATTCAAAAATTGGACTACTTTTTAAAAAACTAGTTTCAGAATTTTACTGAAATTTTGTTCTTGTTTAAAACATATTTTATTTAAAATTTGCAATGCCGGTTTTTAATGTGGAAAAAGCACACATTTAATTATTCTCATTGAAACCTTGTCCTCTTTGATACTTTTTCATCATGATGACCCACGAGTCTAGCAACTTTCACTTTCCTTCCAACTTGAAAGAGACTCTCAATAATATAATTCCTCTAAGAAGAAAGTTGCGAGTTGAAAAATATCAGAGAAAAGCATACATACGTAGGTTTAACTGTAAGTAAATTGAAAATTTCCAAAGAAAATCAGAATAAAGTGAGTGCTAAGCAATGTTTTATCAAAGAGGTGAGTGGAAATACGGTCACGTTTGTTGGAATAAATAATTTGGTTTATTAGTAGGCTAAATAAATTATTTAATTTTCCTCTCCTGTTCATTTTGTGACAAGTTATATAATTTATTTATTTTGAAATGTTAAAAGCAATTTTTCAAAATACAAACTATCATTAATAGCTTATGGAGCCTTGAGCCTTCAACTCAAAGAAGTTTAAAAATTTGTATAAGTTAACAATAAGTAAATATTACGCAAATGTTTCAATATACACTTCTATTTATAAATTTTGCCTATAAAGTTATTGATTTTTGTATAATTTTATGGCTTCTAGGAAGCATAAGAAACCTTTTGATGACCTAATAATTGAAACATCGAAAAAATAAATGTTATTTAATTAAAACTGTAATAAATAACAATATTTTTCAATTTTGACTTTCCTAATTGGCTACGCGTAACAAAATATAATCCACTTATCCTTCTTACTGCCTTTACAGCGAATGCACAAGTAGGTTTACACCGACTTTCCTTACATGTTTATAAGTTAGCTTGAAAGACTTGTAAAAAGCCTGCAGTTTGAAAATGGCACTGAAACAAGGAGGTGTGCAAGTTGATAAATCAAATTTAGAGACTTTCAACGCCGAAAAATTCGTACAAGACTTATTGAAAGAAGGATCAAAGCGGCCTTGCGACGAAACGGTGCAAAAATTTAACGAAAATGGAAAATTGCCCGAATTTTACGATGAACAACTGTACAAAAAGTGAGTAGTCACTTTTTTTTTAAAAGAAAACTCAAAACTGGTTTCAGAGGTCAGAAATTTTTCACCGACAATATCTTCGCTCTACTTTATGGCAAATTTCTGGGTCTTCTCACCGTCCTCTCGATTCCTTCCATTGTTCGTATTTTGATTTATACGAAAATGTCGGGAACGGCTTTGACTGCATACAAAAGATATCTTTCAACGGTGTTTCATATGGTGATTTGGTACCAAAGCGAATTTACGCCAGACTCGAAGTAATTTTTTCTTTTTTCAATACAATGAAATAATCACGGTTTGTAGACTCTGGGAATCGGTGATTGAAGTCAAAGACAAACACAATTCAGTGAGTAAACGTTGTTGCAACGCTGGTTTGGGCCGAATCAACCAAAAGGATATGGCATTGACACAATTTGGTTTCATGGGATTTGCGTTGGCTTTCAGGGAGAAAATCGGGCTTCATGACGCTAAAGACGACGATTTGAGGGCTCTTGTCCATGTGTGGAGGGTCATAGGATACGTAATGGGAATCGAAGATCGGTATAAATAATTATAATATAATAATATAATTATTATTGACAATTATTTGCAGGTTTAATATTTGTCGCGATTCGGTTAGTGAAACGAGCGAAATTTGTCGGATTTTAGCCGATCAAATTTTCAGACCTGCTGTTGAGCGAAAAGATAAAGATTTTATCGAAATGGCGACACATCTTTCGAACGGTATGTGGGCAATGAATCCCACTTTAAATGCCAAAATTTACCTAAATTTAGTCCACCGTTTATTGCAATCATCTAATAATAATCAAATCGAATTTTTAATTGAATTGAATTTTGTCGAAAAAATTCTCTACCATTTCTTGATTTTGGTAATTTGGAGTTTGCAATTTAACGTATTTAGAGTTTATCACAATTACACGCAATATGTTTCGTTGTGGTTAATGGACGTGTTTCCCTTTTTGGCCTATTACAAATTCGGTTATTCCAATTCGCACGTTAAAGTCTTACAAGGGAAAGAAAATTAAGTTTTAAAGTTTTATTTCTTAAAATTAATATTTACAGCTTTAACTACGTTAGAATGTTTTTAAAAATAAATAATTTCAATAAATACTTTTATTTATTTAGTGCCATATGAACAAACCCAAAAAACACCATGATCCTAATAAAGTCTTATTCATTCAAATGGCAATCTATCAAATCTAGGAATTTTCAGTTTTCAAAGAGTTGTATTTTTCATTGGGAAGCTCAATATAAATGGGCCTATTATTGGATAAAAACCCACCATCATCTCCAACTTTAGTGCTACTAAGACTATTCATTTTCCTCCTATACAAAATAACTAAAAGAAGTAGAACACAAATGACAAATGCTGACGCTGCTGCTATCACAATCAACGCCGTGTGATAAGGCGCCACGACTGAAACCGGCGATTGTGACACTATTTCCCGGTGTTCCAACGCCAATAAATGATCACTGAGGAGTTTATGCGTGACCCTTGACCTGGTTATATCAGCGGTTAAACCTGGTAGTCGTTGTTGCATCACAAGTTGTTCTAATCGATAAGCAACATCGACTTTATTGCTCCCAATTAGAGAAAACTTCACGTAGAGGACATCGTCGCTTATTTCCGTTTTGAAACCGCTATTGAGAATCCCTTCAAGACTTTGAATGATTTTCGTGACTTGATTCACGACCGGAATCGAGGAAATGTCATCAAACTCGCCACGAAAACCTAAAGTTACTTCAACACTCTCAACTGGGAATTGTTCTAAAACAACAATCACTTTAATTTTAGGTGAAATAACAATGATGGGACGTACTGCATGTAATTTCGCCTTTTTTGAACGTGTTTGTGTGAAGGAGTTGGTTCCCGGCTTCGTCAACACACCAACAAGTTTCTTCTTCGCATTGAGTTGGGAGAAATTTACCAGTTGAGTCGCATTGACCACCTAGAGCTTGGCATCGGGTGTTTGAAGGGACTTCCAAGGGTTCATCCAAGTCATTTGGTTCCTCCGAGTCGTCGAGGGAACCGATTTGCATCATTAATTCCTCAAGAACTGAAATTAAGTAAATTAATGTGTAATACAGAATACAGGGTGTTCCATTTTTATTGTTACATTTTGAAAAGTACCTACGTAAGGGCGCTACACTCCCTGAAAGAGGTGTATGTTTTAATAAATTTTGTCCAACATTTCAGAAGCCATTTTACATGAAAAGTCAAAATTTGGTCCTAAACCTTTTAAGATAGAAAGTACTATAACAACAACAAAATTCTAAATTCCATAGTTTTTAAAAGAGGTCTCTTGCGTTTTTTCGATACAACTTACCCTTTTTCAGTAAAATCTTTCTAATATTTATGTTACACATGTTTTGTGGTGTTTTTTAGCGAAAAAAAAATGGTAATGTTTAGTCGAAAATCATACTATTTTTGCTTTTTTACACGTTTTAGTATGTTTTTAAGATAAAAACTCAAATTTTGAATAAGACTGTATTGAGACAAGATAAAATCACGAAATATCATATTTTTCACTTTCTCAAGCGTTTAAGAAAGTTTTTCAGTCAGAAATGCAATTTTTTTGCAAAATTTTGTCCGAACCAGTTGAAAAAATCAATAAAAATTGTACTATTTTTGCTTTCTTAAGCAGTTAAATACATTTTTCAACTAAAAACTTCTTTTTTTCGCAAAATGTTGCTAAAAAGGCCACAAGCAGTGCACCTTTTAAAGCGTTTAACATGTTTTTAAGTTAAAAACTGTATTTTTTGCAAAATTTTAGGAAAAAAATGACCAAATAACATTATTTTTAACTTTTTCAGTTAAAAATGCACTTTTTTGCGACATTTTGCTCAAGCAAGTCGTGAGATCTTCTAATTAGATAAAAAATGGTGTTTTTTGTTATTTGTGGGTAAAAATCTTAATTGTTTTTTATCAAAACATGAAAAAAATTAATTTGTCAAAAAATTATTTTATTTTCAAGCAAATAAAAACGTTTTCGAGCCAAAACTGGTTTTTTTCACAAAATAGCTAAATTAGGGGTCGAAAACGACATTGTTTTTGTCTTTTTCAAGTAAAATTTCACCCAAATGGGCCACAAAAAGTTGAAAATGGTATATTTTTTTAAACTGTGGGTTAGGATAAAAAGTACTCTAACTATTTTGGCTGAAATTTCTTGCCACTTTCAACAACAAAATTCTAAATTCCATAGTTTTTCACAAAAAGAAGTCTTTTGGGTTTTTCGATACAATCCCATTAAAAAACGCACCCCTTTCCGAGGGTGTAGCACATTTTTTGATACATATTTATAGGACACTTTTGCCTTAAAATTGAATATTCTTCTACCTGTTCAAACTTGTAACAATAAAAACAAAACACCCTGTATATATAGAGTAAATTTTCTCTCTTAGAACCCCTAACTGTTATAACTAATATGGCGTAGGAATTTACTCGATCCCGAATTTAATAATTTTAATAAAATAATGGTTTAAATATTTTAAGTTAAAATAAAGGCAAGTAATAAAATAATAATGTTTTAAGAATCACAATTATTCGATTTAAAGCTTGTTCGAACGCAAGTTTAGATAAAATTCCCTAAACTCCATTATGTACCAATACCAACTTAAATTTGGTTAGGTTAGGCATTTTCAAAAAAAATATCAAATTGTACCTAAATCGGCGTCGCTCGTGTCGGCCCGATCCTCGGCCCACTTCCTCGCTTGTCTGAAGTTGCACAAGGGCTGTGCCCCTCGCGTCAGTGTCCCTTTCAAGGGCTCTCCTTGTGGGGTTACACACCAGCAAACCCCCACATGTTCTAAACATTGCACTGTTTCCCAATTCCCGGTGTTTGACTCACAACGAGGCATAAAAGTCGGTTTGTGGTACCTTTCGGCCGCCCTTTGATTCTTTTCCCTTAATCTTTCACATTGACTCAAAACGGGACAAACCAAATTGCACATTTCTTCCGAATGGAAATTATTGTGATTACCGTTACAACCTGAATATCCAAACATTTCGCATTTGTTTGTCCTCGAGTTGAAATACCATCGAGTTAAATTTCGTGTGAAATCATCATCACACTCCCCTTTATCCAGAGATTCGAAACAGACATCTCTGGGTTTGGGACAACAAACGGCGTATTCTCCCACAGGACTCAATTGGCATTTGTGTGATGAAGGACAGGTCTCGTAATCGGGACCACAAGTGACGAATTCATCGCTGGTTCCCAGTCTTAATGGGTCGCCATTTTGGCATGGGTTGTCTTTTTTCGGGAGACACATGGGTATGGGTGGACAAGGTTCATTGGTACATTCCACTGGTACTAATCTACAAGTCTCGCCTTCGCCTCGACAAGTAATCCTCGAGCATGGGTCTATACAATTGCAAGTACGACACCCATTAGCATCCATTTCGAACCCATGCTCACAATCAGTGATACATTTATAAAGAGGGCAATCCGACCTTTGTATCGTCTCACACGAAAATGAGGTGTTATTGGTTCTGGTTTTGGAAATTTCAAAACCTCGAAAATCCACACACCAACACTCATTGGTACCAGGATTACACTGTTTGGGTTCATAGGTACCATCAGGTGTACATTGTGGGATATAAACCCGACCTGCTGGTACCCCCGATTCGTGTGCTTGGTGTTGCGAAAGAGCATTTTGGTGTTGACATGCAGTCATGAGAAGAGGTTCCACACATTGAGTACCACAACCATTGGAACAACAACGCATGGTACCATTACAAGCCATGTCTGAGTTGCATTCAAAATCGCATGAAGTTGACGTCGCTGGTACTAAATATGGGCATTGGCCTTGTTTTTTAGGAAGACAAGCTGGGACAGGAGGACAATAATGGTCCTTACAGCTCACTTCGACCAATTGACATTGGGAGTTTTCCTCGCATTTGATACCATTACATGGATCCCGACATTGACAAGTGGGACAACCTGTATCTTCAGATAAAACAAACCCATATTCGCAACCCATGCGACAAGTCAAGTCCAAACAATCCATTGATTGTTTTAATTCGGTACAGTTTTCAGGGGTTGTGGTACCGCGAGTTCGGGGAATTTCAGTACCGAAATTATCGACACACCAACATTCCCCTTTGTGGCATTGGGTCGGTGTGTAACTACCATCAGTGTCACACGATGGGGTTGGAAGCGCCAAAGTCATACCCTCGCGAGTACCTTCCATACTTTCGGAAAAGTCATGCAAATATTCACACACTGGAAACAAATCAATTAAAAATAATTCAGTTTGAGTTTTTTCATACTTGTTTGTGGGCGATTTTCGGTGATATTTTCCTCTTCTATTATTTCTCGGGGACAACAAACGGCTTGAGTCGAGCCTGGTACTGCCGTGCATTCGTACTCCAAAGGGCAAATAGTACCATCCTCGGAACGAAGAGCACAAGCAACCGGTGCTCCACTTATATCATCAGTCAAAGGGGCTCCTTGGTCACATGGATTGGCATAAATTGTCTTTGGTCGGCCTTTTGAAAAAAAAATTGGTAAATATAAGTTTTCATATGTTGGCAACCATGCGAAAATTTAAATAAATCTAACCTCAAATCTTCCCTAAAAAATATTTTTTCAAATAAATATGTACCCCACGTGGCACAAAATAATTAAAATTAACAACGTAATTAACGTAGGATAGCAAACATTATTGATTAAATTAGTTCTGAATGACATTAATGGCACTTTTTGTGTGAATCAGCCTTTAAGTTAAAGATGCATTTAGATAGGAAAAAAAGGTAAAGTATATTTCATTGAAATTGGCATAATAGGTGGCTATGGAATTTCGTATTTAAGTTTGTAGCCCTGCGCATGTCCCTGATATAACAGCTGATGGGGTTTTTGTTGGATGTTCGTTATTCCTATTTTTTCAAATTATAATTAAAAGTAGTTCTCTTCAGAACTCCAGATTTAAAGTACCTACACGCTAAGGTATGTTTGAAAACATGATCAATTTCTTTTTGTTCCTGTTTTAGTCATTTTAAGTTAATGGAATCAAATATACCAATTTGAATTAAGCCAAATTATTTTATTCACGGCTAAACACGAAAGTCTGTATTTTCTTACAAAGCAAATAGTGTATGTTTTTGGTGTCAAAACTACACCTACAAAGGGATGAAAAACTCTCTCTGAAAACCTTTGAAAGAGGGTTCTTTAAAAATAAAATTTTAACTATCTTAACCTCACTTTTTTAGTGACAAATTTAGTTCCTTAATAAGTAAAGCCTTTTTCACATTTAAAGCGCAGTTTACACAATCATGGCCTACTGTTATGCCAATGAAATGGATTATACCACTCTTTAATTTCCCGATTTTTACTTACAAACTGGTAAAGTCGGGCATAGAAAATCCGTACACGTTGATTCTTTCACATTAATGCATTCCTCGTCTTCGGGACACAAATAACCATCACAAGGGTCGTCACATTTGCATGTTGGACATCCGTCTTCGTCGAGTTTAAAACCGTATTCACAAACAGCTGCACATTCTAAAGATTCGCATTGTTTGCCACTTTTATCCAGACTTCGAGCAGATGACTGAATACGAGCTAAGTGAAAAATTAAGTAGAATAAAAAAAAATATTGTATATCATTTGGTACCGTCAAGGATTGAACAGTTGGTACTACTGGCAGGTCCCATAGAACCACGTATTTTCCGTCCCATGCGATCCACGCACCAACAAACTAAACCATTGCGACTGCATTGTTTCGGCTCGAATTGACCATCTTCAGAGCATTGTGGTACGTAGCCACGGCCTGCTCGCTCACTCACAGACAAAATTTCAGATAAAGCGCGTTGATGTAAACATTCTGGAAAAAAATATATTAAAGAACGAGTTCCCACAAATAACTTATGATTTTTCAAAATTTAGGAACTTTTGCCCTAATAAGGTGGTGGTTGGCAATAAATGTCACAAAGTTTGAAAAACTCGATATCCGAAGTGTCAAGCCTCGAGTATTTTTCAAAATTTTGTTGAATTAACAATAAATAGTGTAAATATTTCATGCACATCACCTGATATAGGAGAAATCACTTAAAACGCCGCTGAAAATTTACTAAATTGTAGTATATTTCAGCACCCGATTTGGCTCATTAAAGCATTGGTTTTGGTATATCGAAATAAGCTTTTGTGTTTCAGAACATGCCATTAATTTTTTTAATGTTAATTGATGCTTAACCTAAAATCGTTAAATGTCAACCTCACCTGTAACATTCTTGGGATGGGTACATGAAGCCCCGCATTGTTCCGTTTGGCAACATTTCTGAACTGAAGGACATTCCAAATCGTGACTGCACATCTGTCCACACTCGTCCCCCGCGTTAATTTTCTCAGGACAAGTGCCAGTTTTCTGTATTTTCAAAGACGCCGGACAACAAACACCATAATCATTGCCTTTCTGTACTAAACACTGATACATTGGGGGACAAGTGGGTTTCCCCGGATCATTTCCACACAAAAACGGTCTAACCGTATCGCTGATTCGGAGAGGGTCGCCAACTGGACAAATATTCTCCAAACTTCTTCCTCGTTTACCTGAAATAATAATTGACATTTGATTTGACACACCTCACTTTCACTAGCACATCTTTTGTCCCTTACAAGGTTAAAATACTTACATGTGGGGACTGGGGGGCACGGAGGGTCAGCACACGCTAGTTCTTCGAGGTGGCATTCGAGAGAGTTGGGGCATTTGATGCCCTCGCAAGGGTCACGGCAACGACAAAGGGGGCAACCATCGGGGGCGAGCGCAAACCCATGGGGACAGAACATGCGACAGGTGTGATCTGCGCACGGCTTTGGAACTGACAAATTAAATATTAAATAAAAACCCTGTTCTCCATCCTCGACGAGTCGCACATGTGTATAGAAATGCAATGTAACTATAGCAACAACGAAATTTATAAAGTTAAAAATGTCAATTGTCATGGTTACAATGATAATAATCAGTGGCGGCGTATAAAATAATTCATTCCTCGAAATGTTATTCTTGCGGATATGCCGGTGACCCGATTCGCTTCGTTCTGCCTCATTATGTATGTATCTAGTTCAGTGGTTGTGTGCTAAAGTCTCATTAGGAAGATGCGCTACATTGTATTCACACAAAAAAATCTCCAATTAAAACTTCAAGTCGACGAACCAAGAAAAATCCCAAGATTTGTAACTAGTTAAAATTCCCGGAATGATTCTACTAAACTCACCACTTGAGTGAAAGTCTTGGAAATGCCACTTGAGTCATTTCATTCATTAACGCATATAGACCTCGAGGCACTTTCACTCCTCCTCACCTGTGCAATTAACAAGAGCCGCTGCAGGGGCTCTAGTCCCCGGTAACTCGAAGCCGGCTTCGTCAACGCACCAACAGGAACTCACAATCTCATTATCGCATTGGATGGGTTCGAAACCTCCAGATTTATTGCATCGAGGCATTCGCACACTTCGGGCTTCGACACCTAGGGCTTTGGCTCGTCTTGAAGCCGCCATTCGCAAAGTTTGACATCCTAGACGATAATAATAATTAGTTGATTAGTATTGAAATTTTTTAATAATGTATCTTGTTTAAGGTAAAAAAATAATTGTAATACCTTTTAATAATCTCGTATTTATTCAAATCTTTTTTTAGTAACGTTGCATTCTTTCAAATCACTTTTAATGTCAAAAATGTTTTAAATTTTCTATTTTCCCCTTCGAGAAAATGGATTATATTCATCATTTCGACTCACCCAACGAAAACTATAGTAACTCATAAAAATTGGTTTTGACTACGATGGCTTATGTAGGGCCTAAAATACAAAACAATGAGAAAACATTTCTTTAAATAAACAATATTATTACCAAAGATTAGACCCTTAACAATTTTCAATAATATTAAACAGTTCCTTGTTTTTTATTAACAATTAAAGATTTAATGCAATTTTTCTCAAAACTGTAATTTTTGAGTTACTATACCTAGTTTTCGTTGGGAGAGTCGAATGTTATTTTATTTTGTTTTTCCATTTTTCAAATTAATTCAAAATTAAGCACTTTAGTAAAAAACTCCATAAAAAAAGATTTCTTATTATTTTAAAAATTTCAAAACGACAAAACATTTTACACAAACCTTTTACTATTCCAAAAAATACTTATTTCTTAATTTTTGTGATGATTTTTGAAATATTGTACCTCAATGAAAAATGATCATATTTTGATTTAAAAAAATCCATTTTAAAGTTTCAAGTTTCTAGTCTTGTAACATTTTGGCAAAATCAGTAGGTATTGCTTAATCCTAGGAAATAAAACTAGAAAAAAGAGGTTTTTTTATTATTTTTGTTTGGGCCACGGACGTAGGGAAATTTTTATTAATTAAATCAATACATGAATCGAAGAGCTTGTTTATTCTGCTTTAATTTGCTTTTTATGTTCCCTTTACATCAATTTGTCGCTAGATATTTGACTTTCAATGAAAAATGATCTTTTTGTCTTTCGATATCTCAGCATCCAATAACAGCACAGAGAATGTAAGAATAGTTTCAAAAACCGGAATAAATTGTATGCAAAATGTTTTTACATTTTTTTGAAAAAAAATTTCACTTGCAACAAAGTTTTACAAAACAATTAAAGGAATTAATTGTGTAATCTTCATCAAAATGAAAAAAGCAATTTTTTTACCTTTTTATACAATTTTGCATAAAAAAAAAATATTCGAAAAAATTTAAACAAAATTTTTTGATGTTTTTGAAAATGTAAAAAATCAAAAACCAATAAGTATCTACTGACAAATTTTTGAGACCATTTAACTTTCGGGTACCGTAATTTTACTCATCTCAAATTAATTGCATTAGTGAAAAGTTGATACCCCCCAAACTAGATTTATGAACATTCATGCAAATTTTCAAAAAAGGCTTTTTTTATTGTTTTCGATTTTCTTCTTCTTTTGTACTACACAAAAAATATAAGTATTGTTTTTAAATTTTCTAAATATTAAAAACAATAAATTCAGCAAACATAGGTAAGAATAAATCGTTTTTTTACCAATTTTTTACTTTCCTCATCCTGTGTGTGTGTGTGTCTGTCTGTAAACAGCATATCTCGAGAACGATAAAAGCTAGAAACTTGAAATTTGGTATGTAAGTTACTTGTAACAAGGGGACGCAGCACGAAACAATTGGTAAAAATCGGTCGCAAAGACCAAAAATCAAAATTATACGGTTGAAGATACAATAAATTCATGGGAATGAATAAAAATTATTTAGAATCATGAAAGATACCTTATTAAACAGTAAAATGTGATAAAATAAAAATAATAATGAGTACCGAACTAAAAGAAATGCACCTCGCGACAACACTAAATTATTGTCGTAAGCATGTTTTCCAAATAAGTAGGATAAGGAAAGTCGTGCGATGTTCTCACTGAAAATAAGTAAATACCCACCTGTGAAAAGCTGTTTAGTGCAGACTTTACCACACGGACTTTTGCAACAAATGCTATCGGGTGAGCAATCGTCGTCTTCGGTGCAATGTTGAGCTCGCAAAGGGCATTCGGTCAGCATGGGACATTTCGACGATTCTATACGAGGAAATTGGTGTTGCATCATTATTTCGGAATTATTCGCTTAGAAAGCATAAAAAAGGGAAATATAACAAAAGAATATGCGTGGTGAAGGTCGACTTGCATGACGCATTAATTAGCGGAAAAAGGAAATGAAGATTTTAATAAAAAAAGTGACTGAATTAGAACAAATTTTTCACTCACCACCTTTCCTGGCGATTGCTATTGATAGAAGCACAAGGAGAAGACCCAAACTTAATTCCCAACGAATAATCATTGCTGGAAAAAGGAAAAATTATGACTCATCTTCACCTTGACGTTTATTTATTTATTTACCACAATTATTGTGGGATTTACGAATTTTCATTCTTTTCTACATTTCTCAATGACAAATATTTTGTTACATACTCAAAAAAAAACACTAAAGGAAATTGCATTTTATTGCCAAACAGCTACAAAGCAGTTTCACGTTACTTAAAAATACAACAGGTGGCTGATAGAAAGATTGAAGAATTTATTTTTGCTAAATATTTTGCGCCCACGCTTTCAACTTGTGTCAATAAACTCAGAGTTGTTTTCTTCCACAAAAATTCATTTAATCAAGCTTTTTCGCCGTGTTTTATTATTTTAGAAAGTTTTGTCTCGTCTGAAACAAAACGATAAAATGAAATTTCTACACACACTTGGTTGTTTTTGATTTCATAATTTAAATTCGGTTTGTTTGAACTTTTCAGTCTCGGTAAGATAATCTTGAAATATGTGAAGGAACTAACATTGTCGGAAATATTTCAATCTTTATTTAACATCTACATGCAAACAACCGACAATTTTTTTGTAATTTTTCATACAAAATTCAAAAAAATTAAATTCTTATGTAACATTTTCAAGTTTCACCGGATTTTCCTAATTATTGTGCCATGTTGTAAGTAGGTTTGTACAATTTTAAAATAACGCGACTTTTGCTACCGCTACATCTCCAACAAGTGGTAATTTCACCAAACTTTCTTCAAACTTGAAAGAAAGTCGTTGATTGTTGATTAAAATTAGTAAACTGATGCGCAAATGCAGTGTCGCAACTAATTAGGTAATTAAAATTCAATCAAAGTACCGCAAACTGACTAATAAATATTACAAGTGACAAATGATTCACTTTATTATCACAACGAAATTCTAGACATACCAATGTTTTCAAATGTTGGGTGTTGTCTGAAAAATCCGTTCAATAGAATAACAATAATAACACGCGACACAAACACTACCGGAGCTGTCGCTGGATTTTAGCGGACTGCCGTCTTGGGGCTTCTTACCAGCACACTGACCGACTTTCGAAAGAGGTATTCCCGTGTTCTAGGTGAGAGCTGTGACGTCATTATATACTTCTTTGCAACCGGCGCATCCGGGAGGTACACACACGAAGAGTTCATCCGGAGGCGGCTGTGATGCATTCTTTTAACACAAAAAACACTAAAAAACTTTAAGTTTGTTTTTTTGATAAACCCTTTTTCCATCCTTAGCGAGTCGCACATGTGCGCAATTTCTATAGAAATACTCCGAAGTATGTGTGTAACTATAGTAACAAAAAAAAATAAAATAAAATTGTCATGGTAACAACATAATTTCCAGTGGCGGGTAATTTTTGTGACTTAATAATATTGCAACTGAACGTCTGTTGTGTTGGAAAATATAATGCCTTTCTACAGGGCCGTAACCAGGATTTTATTTCGGGGGGGGTTCTTGTTGGTCCATGAAAATGAAATTAAAGAAGACGGATTAAAAAGCAAAAATCTCTAAGTACACGTTTTTATTTTAAATTGAAGTAAGAGATCCTAATTAAACATAAAAAAAATACAAATTAACTCACAAAAGTAACAAAAAATAAAATAAATTTTTAATACTTTTTATTGTTACAAATTTAAACAGGAGATGAATATTCATTTTTAAAACAAAAATTTTCTATGAACACATCGAAAAATGCTACGCAAGGGGTGCGTCTTTTAATAGGTTTTTTTTCAATATTTCCGAAATCATTTTAGAAAAAAAATTCAAAATTTGCTACAGATGATAACTTTTATACACCTAAACAAGTACAAAAATAAAATGTTGAAATTTTTAATTAGGTGCTTCCTAAACTAGATGGGATTAGGGTAAAAATTTACTCTAACTATTTTGCCTGTGGTTTTTGCCACTTTCAGCAACAAAATTTCATAGTTTGTGTTTTTACGATACAATTTACGGATTTTTAGTAAAAATCGGTTCAAAAATTTATGTTACAGACCATAAACAGCATAAAAATTAAAAATTAAATTTGTTTTACCGTTTAGGACGCCCCTGATTAAAATTTATGTTATTTGGCATGTGTTTGGGTGTACATATAAAAGTACCAAATTTTGTAATTTTATCTATTCTGAAATATTAGGAAAAACCCTTTAAAAAACGTACCTTTTTTAGGAGGGTGTAGCTCCTTTTCATAGCATTTTTCAAAATACTTTTATCTTAAAATTAAATATTCTATCGACTATTTAAATTTGTACCTAACAATAAAAATGAAACACTGTATAATTAACACATGAAAAATTAATTCACAAAAATTTAAAATTAACTCATTAAAATAACAAAAAAACTAAATTTTTAACACTTAAACACTATATAACAAAGTGCTCAGCATTTCGGGGGGGGTTTGAACCCCCTAAACCCCCCCCCCTTGGGTACGGCCCTGCCTTTCTAGGATATTAACTGTTTGAAGCTCAGTTCAATGGATCGCCAATAACGCACTCATGTGAAACCATTTAATAACTGTGATGAAATATATTAATTCAAAATTTTATGCAATAAGCCGGATATAAAATTTAAAAAAATCAAGCAAATGCAACGATTTTTAACGTTTTCGCAGTCCAGCAAGTGGTAAAACCCTACAATTAGATTTAGCATTTGTTACCAATTGAAGGTTGAAAAAATATCAAATGGTGACCTTTAATGAAATTTGAAAATAAAGAATTGAATGGTGCAAGGTTGGAATTTGATATAAAAATATCATCTTTGTTTCAACATAAAGCGACTTTTATTTTCCTCGACAACACTTAAGTATTCAACAAACGCCTTCTCATATTATATGTTGTTATCAGGAGTCGTTAGATATGGTCAGTCGGTGCAATATGCATACAAATAGGGCCGTGTATGATAAACGATTGTATTTAAAACAGGTCGTGTTGTAATGGTAATACCCAAACATGACAAGCTTTAGGGAGAGAAATTTTTTCTTGTTCTCTTAGAACAATGTTCATCTCCGATCTACATTTAAACAGTTAAGTAATTCTCACGCTTAAAAAGTCAATGTTCTTTTAATAATACAAATCAAAGATTTGAGAATTGGTATTAGCTATCGAAAGATTTTGCAATAGGTCGGCGGGATCTTCACATTTCGATACGCATTTTCTATTATTTGTAAGCAAAGACCAAACCCAATCATGTTTATGCTCTATAATCACGTGTTATTTCACGTTTTCTTCATGCTTACGTAATGGATACTTACCTGTTTTGTTTTATTTAAGAATCTAGCAGGAATCGCTGATTTATGAACGAGGAAGAAAGACCAAGAGTTAAATGATCTTTTGTGCTTTATAACTTCTAGACAGCATTGGGTTTCAAAAAAGAAAACAACAAATTGGTATACAGGGTGTGTCAAAACTCGTGCCCCAGAGAAAAATTTCGAGTAACATAAGATAACAGGAACATGGAAAACATGTTTAAAAAATTCTGTCAAAAAATTTTGACATTTATTTTTTGACATTTGACTTTTTTATGTATATTTAATGATAGTGATGATTTTGTAAATGTTTTTTTATAATTACTTAGTAAAGGTACAAAAATTTTATTATTTGTACTTAATCTAGATTTTAAACACAATAAAGTCGTATTTTCAATTGCAAATGTACAGATAAGTGGAAAAGTATATTAAACCATACTAAATTTTTATTTTTTTGGAAAAGTATTTGTAATATTTCAAATTGCTATAGAATCAAATAAATATACTTGTTGTTAGCTAAAAGAATTTAACTTTGACTACAAAAGTATGACATATTTAATTTAAAATAAGACCTACTTTTTTACAAAAATAACATTTTATTATTTTACATACAAGGTAAACAAAAAATATGAAATGAAGCGCTTTTTCATCATTTGTCTTTAGAAAATAATAATAAATTAATAAAAATTAAAGTGCTATAAAAAATGTGATGATGATTTTTGTAGAATAAAGTACTTTCGTATGGCAAATTTTACAAAAAGTTATTACGAAAAGTTGTTTAGAATTAACATCTAGGCTCTTATATCAAATTTCAAAATTATCGGCGAACTATGGTTTTAATTTTTTGTATGTTTATTAATTCACAAATTAAATTTTTTAATTTTTTTATAAATGAAAAATACATTTAGATTATCATTAGGAAATGCTAATTGAATTTTTGACCTTTCTGTTATAAAAAGCAATTATCTAGGAAAATAAAATGAAAAACTACCTATAGTTGGCCGATGATTATGAAATTTGATATATGGGCTTAAGTGTTGATTCTAAAGAACTTTTTTTAATAACTTTTAGTCGAATTTGCCACATAAAAGAGCACCGTACAGAAAAATACTTTTTCCAAAGGCATACTTGATTTTTCAAAACTGAAATTATGTTAGATCTTTATAAACTTTATAATTAATTAAGCAGGGGTGTCACTCCAAAAAATTAAAATTGAAATCGATTTTTTTTTATCCTTTACAAAAGTTGTTTCATATATCCGGGGACACACTGCATAAAAAAAATTGACAGAAACTGAATAAAACGCAGCTACGTAGTTAATCCCTATATTAAAAAAGCTTTATACTAAATTGAAAATTTTGTAGAAATCAAAACAAGAAAAATTTGAATAATTTTATTGTTGAGTAACGTCACATTTTTATAGCACTTTTTTTTTAAATAAATACAGTTGGCAAAGTCCGGCGATTGCCGAGGTAGTAACTCGGCAAACCACGGAGTTCGAATGCGAGAACAGTGGCGTAGCCTTAAATACATTTTCGTTTTAAACAAATTTCACATTTTCATATTGAAAAAATATCTACAGTCACATTCTTAATTGCAATCAAATTTTTATTAGCGATTAATTTGATGTTTGAAAAAGTAAAGTAATTGACAATTTAATTCGGATTTGTTTAGTCCTGAATTAAATTTTATTTTGTTTTTTCTAAATCGATTAATTAATGGCAAATTAAAATTTCATTGTCACCTTTAAACAAAAGTAAATTTTCGGTAAAATTTTATATTTGGACGCATCAAAACGCTATCCTGTAACCAATCAGATGCGAACATTTTGACGTCATATCTGAGAGTTGTACAACTTAAAATCTCTTTGTTGTGTAAATAATAAGTGTAAAGGGCTTAAAAAATAGCGACGTGGAATTGGATAACGTTTGAATTATTTTGTGACGTGGCGAATGGGTGGGATTACGCAGCCTCGAACGAAGGTCTTGTACACCGGAAATAAGTTTTTGTGCCGTTTTTGAGAATTATTACAATAACGAGTCAGTCTTAGCCAAATTTCCGTAATAAATGTCCACACAATAAGTGTGTGTTGTGTATTTTCGAGTGTTAAATAGACATTTAGTAGTGTGTGATTTTTAAAATTTCGAGTGATTAGTGAGTGCCAATGAGGGAATGTAGAAGACAATCGTGCTACAAAGTTCCGGATTAATAATAACTTTTAATTTTTTAGTTAACTTACCCTTTTTAAATTTTATTTAATATTTTCAAGTGATTTATTAACACTTTGAACTGATTTTGTGTTTCTTTATTTTCAGTAGGTCCGTTTAAGAAGCAGAGGTGAATTCCTACAAAGGATAGCAGAAAAAGATGTCAAAAAAGTCATGCATTTTAATTTTTTATTTTTTGTTTATCGTAAAATAAAGTGTTTGAATTTGTGATTTTTTTTAGTTGTGTTTTAGATAAAATGTTTTATATTTTAATTTTTTTTTAATAATAATTATGTAATATGCGACGCCACTGGAAAATGTTGTATGAAATAGCACATTAGCTTTCTCTTCAGTTGCCGGTATTTTTAGAAGTCAAGCAGCCCACAATACACCTAAATTTTTTGTGAAGGCAACATAATATACACCAACGAAATCGGTTTGCTTACTGTAAATTATCAAAAGTAACTCTTAGTTCTAATTAAATGATTTAATCAACTTTGGGTTTTTTTGAAATGAATAACAATATTAAAGATTAATTATGTTTCTTTTTTTTAGTTTTAAGTTATGGTTCAAGTAAAAAAATCTCTGTTTATGAGATATGTAACTTGATTTTCACGTTTGTCTTGACCTAGAAAACGTAAAATGAAGTTCTTGTTAAAAAGAAATTTTTGCAATATTTATGAATTAGAGATTTACTAGCGCTTGGGGGTTTCCCCAAGGATAAATTTCAAAATTGGGGCACAGTTCCTAATAAATAAATACTCTAATCTAATACCATTTGCCTTGATGATGTCAATTTGGTAGGCGAAACACGTGTCACATTGGGATTTTCTAACTATTTTTACAATACCCAATTAAATTTTTCTCTTTTTTCATTCAAATTTATTTAATAATTCCATTTTTTATCACAAAACTCGTTTTTTTCCTTCTTTCCCAAGGTCACATGTTAATGAAGATTCTCCGATTCGACATCCGGTCAAATATTTTGCCTTGGAATTTGGCAGAGAAAGTACGAACCAGATTTTTTAAACAATATTAAAATAATCTCTTTGGATTCTTCTTCCTCACCTGTTTCGTTGCACCTGAGGAAAAGGGCCATCATCAGTGAACGTGGTCGTCGCCGCCTCGGCCCCACTTAGTTGAGTTGTTGGTAGGCTTGGCAGAGGCCAACCATCGCTCATGGTTGTTGTACTGACCGGCCGCAGACCTACCAAGAATTTCCCAGTGATGTGATCTAATGAAATCTGAGTGCGGTGGTGATCGACTGACGATCACAATGATACTCATCGTCTTGGTGTTTGTGGCGTGTGTGAATTGGACTTTAGCACACTGTCCCGAAGGAATAACCGGGAATTGTACCATCATCCGACATAATGGTGAGACGTGTTTGTAAACACACTGTAAGGTGGCTGGGCTTCCTGCTGACCTTGGAGAATTTTAATTCACGTTAGAAGAAAAATTCATGGAAACTTTATTGCTTTTGGCGACTTTCTTCTTCTTCGACTCGATTTCCTGATTTTGCCTCATTGTTTTATTATAGAGGAAAGTGGTTTAGAAATTAATTACAAGAGAAACAATTGGTGATTGTGTGCTAAATCCGGAACTGACCTACCATCTTACAGAGTGTCCCAAATAAACTTTAGCTTCTAAAACGGAAATTTTTAACACTTTTTTTGTAGCATCCGTTGGCTAATGTTAAAATAATTTATATCGTTTTTTTTTGTCTGACATTGAACCCAAAATCTGATTAATAGTTGAAATAATTAATAGTTTTCACACAATGCAACATAAACCTTATCTGCGATCGTTTGTTACTCCATAATTTTTTTAGTTCTTTAAAACAAATAAATTTTTGTAATGAATCTTCTTCCATAATTGGCGCAAGAGGAAATTACAACTTGGAAGAAGATAATCTAAACAGCCTTGACGTTACATCACGAATTGTTTTCAAATCGGGTAAAAAACAGAGACACGTCTCAATATGGCAAAAAAGAGGTCGCTTGGTTTTAAATTTGCGCTGATTCATGTAGCGGATTAGCACCGTTAGTGAAGAATTTTGGCGAAAGGTGATTTGAACGGTGCGTCAGACGAGTAACCCACGAATAAGAATTTCCTCCTCAACTAATTACGTATCTACTCATTAAATTCATTACCGGTTTGAATTTGCAATTTGTACGAAACGGTGTTAGTAGATCGAAGTTTTGTGATTTAGATAAATAATAATTTTCTCGTCGGATCGAAATCACCGATTCTTACACATTCAAATCGGGGTAAAAGTCGCACTTTTTGTTGTCGATGAGAATCGATACTTTCTTCCACTCCTTGAACGATTATAACTGCACTTTCGAGCTTTTCTAGGCCATCAAATAAATCGGCGGTTTCAATAATTCGATTTGGAAACGTTCCAGAAAAAATCACAAAATTTTTAGTGAAATTCGACGAGAAAGTGGACAAGTTTACAATAGAGAAATGTTAATAACCTTCTGAAGGTTTTACTACACGTAATTGACCGTTTGTGGTGCACGTAAATGCCGCAGAGGCTTAAAATGATTTATGCATAAAGTGCAGAAATAAACGTTAATACAGTTTTCTTAAATTTCATGTTTCTACAGGGTTATTCATAAATATGAAGCAATATTTGAACCTCAAAAATAACGATGTTAATTTAAATAATAACTCGTGTCCTATCTCTACTGATAAGAATTTTACAGCCCTCGGAATCTGGGTATGAAAATTTGTTTTTTTTAATAACTTTGGAACCATTTGACCAAATATTATAAAATTTGGAATGATTACTTGCGAGAACATACTTTTTAAACTAGTAATTACGAAAACCGGTTCCAGCAATTGCAGGTCATATTTTCTGTGTTTTTTAACATTAATTTTTTTTTGGTCAAAACAATAGAGTAGTCAATTTTGAATAAAAGCGCATAACCTTTAATACCTCTCAAAGGCGGATCCAGGGCCCCCCCCCCAAACTTGCCACCAAAAGCTTCAATTTTTTATTTTAATGAGTAAAGTTTTTTAAATAAAAATATTAGAATTCTTTTTAAATCACACTTATTAAAACAAAGACAAACATATACCTAGAAATCAAGATAATTTGTAATCGAGTCATTTTGGATCCGAAAACGTACAACGTATGTCTGTTTTTAAACTAACTGCACTTGAAACGTCAAATAAAATGACAAGTTAAAAGGGAAAACGGCAAAATGAGCTAGAATTAGTCGCTGACGTATAATAATAAGACCGTTCTTTTTTGAAGGTAAATCAAAAATTTAGTTATTAAAATCATTATCATTTTGTTCATGCCATTTTACMTTTCGACCTGTCATTTTATTTGACGTTTCACAGACATACGCACAGGACATACGTTTTCGGATCCAAGGATGATTACAAATTATCTTGATCTCTCGATATTACTTATTAATTTAAAAAGAAATCA